GTCGTGGAACATGCCGGTGGCCTTCGGGGTGCTGACGACTGAGAATTTGCAGCAGGCCATCGACCGTGCCGGTGGAAAGTACGGCAACAAGGGGGACGAAGCCGCCGCTGCGGTCATCAAGATGATCGCTTTGCAGATAGAGATGGAGCCCGAAGAGACCGAAGCCGACCGAAAGAAGATCAACTAATCAGCCTGAAGGTTTTTAGCGTACCGCCAGCCGTTGCCGCCATGCGGTTTCGTCGAAGCCGACCAGCACGAAGTCTGCGGCGACCAACAACGGGCGTTTGACCAGCTTGCCGTCGGAGGCGAGTACGGACAGCAACTCTTCGCGGGTTGCTGTTTCCATTTTTTCTTTCAGGTTCAGTTCCCTGTATTTCAGCCCGCTGGTGTTGAAGAATTTCCGGATCGGCAGTCCGCTGGCGGGAATCCATGCGGAGAGTTCCTGCGCGGTCGGGTTTTGCAGCGTGATGTCGCGCGCTTCGACGTCGATGCCGTTCGCCCGCAGCCATTTGGCGGCTTTGATGCAGGTGCCGCCACTTGGATAGTGAAGAAAAGGTATTTCATGACGTTCCGTTTTTTTGAAGTACGGACAAATTTAGGAAATTTTTCCGGGCCGCGCCGCAGTTTCGGCAACATAAGAGGAATCCCGCAAATAGCGGGATTCCCTCTTATGTCCGTAACCGGGTTGTTTTATTTCATCATTTTGTCGAGCGTCTTTTTCAGCGAAGTGATGTCGCGCTGGAACGAGATGATGTCTTGCTCGTGTTCCAGTTCGTCTTCGAGGATTTCGACGGCCATTTTGGCGGTGTATAGTCGATCCCGCTCGTAAAGTCGGCGATGTCCTGGTAGCGCTTGATTGCAAGCGTTCGCCGCGCAGATTCTGTTCGAGAACGGTTTCGATGTACGGGTCGGTCGGCGCTTCGTATTTGCACCGGGCCATTTTCATCCATTGGTCGGGACTGAGCACGGGCGTGCCGCCGAGCTGGATGATCCGATCGATCAGTTTGACGGCGTGCGACAGTTCTTCGTCGGCATGCTTGAGCATTTCCGATTCGATTTCGCTGCGCATCGGGCCTTCCGTGACGCGCGCGCCTACCCAATATTGGTAGTAGGCAGCCACTCTTCGCACAGGGCGGCGTTAAGCATTTCGATCAGTTTCTGAACATCGAGGTTTAGCACCTCTGCACTTACCTGTTCATCGTTTTGCGTTTTAGTGATAATGACGGTTTGGAAACGGTTCGTGAATATTTGGCTAAATCGCGGCGGGATTGTCGGAATGTTTCGGAAAAGTCCCGTGTACAGAATAACTTGGCCCGTTCCGGGTGTTCCTATGCGGACGGTTCGTCCCGGAATTCGTATAACTGGTTGCGCAGGCGCGGCACGAAGCCCGCCTCTCGGATCGCCTGCCGGATACCCTGCGCGTCGAAACGATTGTGCGCGCCGGCCGACGAGACGACGTTTTCTTCGATCATGATCGATCCCATATCGTTGGCGCCGCCGTGCAGCGCCATTTGCGCGGTCGCTTTGCCGACCGTCAGCCACGAAGCCTGTATATTGCGGATGTTGTGCAGGACGATGCGGCTGATCGCGATGATCCGTAGGTATTCGAGCGGAACGAACCGGCGCTTACGCCCTCGCGTTCGAGCTGCGTTCCGCTCGCGCGGAAGATCCACGGGATGAAGGCGATGAATCCGTAGTTTCCGGCCGGACATTCGGCCTGCAGGTCGCGGATTCGGATCAGGTGTTCGATGCGTTGCCGCGGCGTTTCTACGTGCCCGTACATCATCGTTGCCGAGGTCGCCAGGCCGAGGCGGTGCGCGGTGCGCATGACGTCGAGCCATTGGTCGGCGTTCGGCTTGCGGGCGAGATAGTCCGCCGCACCCCGTTGTCGAGGATTTCGGCTCCGGCTCCGGGCAGCGAGTCGAGTCCCGCGTCGACCAGCCGTCGCAGCGTCGTTTCCGTGTCCAGCCCGCTGATCCGGCGATGTGGAATACTTCGGGCGCGCCGAGCGCATGCAGTCGGATCTGCGGATAGCGCGTTTTCAGCTCCCGGAACAGGTTTTCGTAAAAATCGATCCCCAGTTTCGGTGCAGGCCGCCCTGCAACAACAGTGGTCGCCGCCCAGCGCGAGGGTTTCCTCGATTTTTTGGGCATACTGTTCGATCGTGGTGACGTAGGCCCGTTCGGTCTGGTGCGGCTTGCAGTGAAAATTGCAGAATTTACAACCCGAAATGCAGACGTTCGTGATGTTGACATTGCGGTCGATTTGCCACGTTACCACGTCGCCCGGAACCTGCTTTTGGCGCAGTTCCCATGCGAGTAACGTCAACTCGCCGGTCGGGGCGGTGTCGTACAGCCGCATCGCCTCGCCGGCGGTCAGCGGTTCGAGGGCGAGCGCCTTGCGGTATATTTTTTCGTTGTCCATCGTTTTTTAAATAGGAAAACCGCTTCTCCGAAGAGAAAGCGGTTCTATTTTCCCACGTTGCGTGGCCGTATTATTCCAGCGAAATGGATTCGGTCGGGCAAACGTCGGCGCAGGTACCGCACTCGGTGCAGGACTCGGGATCGATTACATAGACATCCCCTGCGGAGATAGCTCCCACCGGGCATTCGTCGATGCAGGTACCGCAAGCGGTGCATGTGTCTTTACTGATTTTGTAAGCCATTTTCTGTTGTTTTAAGAGTTCCACGACGCAAATGTATAATTATTCTATATACGAGTCAAGTTAACAACGAATAAATTTGGCGGATTATTGCAGAAACTCCAGGGCGAATACGGCCATCGTGACCACGCCGTAATCCAGCGCTTGTTCGTCCGGTTGAACGTAGCGGTGTGCAACGCGCCGCCGCATTCGCCGTTTTTACGCGCGGTGCCGAGCCTGAAAAAGAGGCTGGGGTAGCGTTCCGTGTAGGTGCCGAAATCTTCGGCGGTCATCCGCAGGTCGAGCTCTTCGACGTGCTCCTTGCCCCAGAGTTTGGCGGCGATGCTGCGGGCGCGGACGGTCAGCGCCGGATCGTTGACCACGCACGGATATCCTTCCGGGATTTTCACTTCGGCCGTAACGCAATGGGCCGCGGCGACTCCGGCGGCGATCTCGTGAATGCGCCGTTTGGCCTGCGCGCGCCACCGTTCGTCCATCGTGCGCAGCGTCCCGGCGACTTGTACGACCGGCGGAATGACGTTGGTCGCTCCGTTGGCGATGACCCGCCCGATCGACAGCACGGTCGGGATCGTGGCGTTGTTGTTGCGGCTGACCACCTGTTGCAGCGACGTGATCAGCGCGGCGGCGGCTACGACCGGATCGGTCATCGTGTGCGGCAGGGCGCCGTGGCCGCCGGTGCCGTGTACTTCTATCCACAATTCGTCGCTCGAAGCCATGTACTTTCCGCTGCGGAAACCGAGGTTTCCCACTGCCATTCCGGGGCGACGTGCTCCCGACGAATGCGACCACCCGGTAATCGCGGAACGGGTCTTCTGCCATGACCATCGACGCGCCTCCGGGGCAAACCTCTTCGCCGGGCTGGAACAGCCCGAACACGGTTCCGGCGATCTCCGATTTGTGCCGGTTCAGCACGAGCAGCGCGCCGAGCAGGCAGGCGGTGTGCATGTCGTGCCCGCAGGCGTGCATCACTCCGTCGTGCCGGGAGGCGCATTCGAGTCCGGTTTCCTCCCAGATCGGCAGCGCGTCCGTGTCGGCCCTGAGCACCACGCAGCGTTGCAGGTCGCCGTGCCCTTCGATGCGCGCCAGGATACCCGTTCCGGCGATCCTGCGGAACAGGATTCCCGCTTCGGTAAGCTGTGCGGCGATGTAATCCGCCGTTTCGTGCTCTTCGAACGACAGCTCCGGCCGGGAGTGGATCGTCCTGCGGACGGTCAATACCTGTTCGGAAACGGCCTTCGCGGTTTTTTAATCGATTCGTAGTCCATAGGTTCTCGGTTTTTAGAATAACGCGCGGGCGATCTTGACCATGTTGTCGGTCTTTCCATCGTGTAAAAATGCAGGACGGGAATTCCGGCCGCGATCAGCTCGCGTCCCTGTGCAATGGCCCATTCGACGCCCGCTTCGCGCACTTCGGCGTTGGTTACACCGCTTCACCGTTTCGACCAACGCTTCGGGCAGGTCGACATGGAAATCTGAGGCAGCATCGTGAGCTGGGCTTTCGTCGAGAACGGCTTGATGCCCGGAACGATCGGCACGTCGATTCCGGCCGCGCGGCAGTCGTCGATGAACGACAGGATTTCGCGCTGTCGAAACTCATCTGCGTGATGATGTACGCGGCGCCGGCGTCTACTTTCTCTTTCAGCCGGCGCAGGTCTTCGGCTTTGTTCGGGGCTTCGGCGTGTTTCTCGGGGTAAACCGGCCACGCCGATGCAGAAATTCGTGTTGTGGCACTGTTCGACCTCGCCGTCGATGAAAACGCCTCGGTTCATCCGTTCGATCTGCTCGACCAGCTCCGACGCGTGCAGGTGTCCGTCCGGGTGGTTGCGGAACGTGTGTTCTCCTTTCAGATTGTCTCCGCGGAGCGCCAGCACGTTTTGTATTCCCAGGAAGTCCAGGTCGATCAGGGCGTCTTCGATGTCGTAGCGCGACTGGCCGCCGCAGATCAGGGCGGATGACGGTCAGGCCGTACCGCTGCATGATGGCCGCCGAAATGCCGACCGTCCCCGGCCGCCGGCGTACCGTGTGCCGTTCGAGCAGACCGTTTTCTTTTTCGACGTATTTGACGTCCTCGCGGTGGTAGGTGACGCTACAGAAGATCGGGGAGAATTCCATAAGCGGGTCGATCGCTTCGAACGTGCGCTGTGTTCCGTCGCCTTTGAGCGGCGGGCAGCAGTTCGAACGAGAAACGGGGTTTGCCTTCCGCGCGGCTTTTCGTATGATGTCGGTAATGTGCATGAAATAGGTTTTTATTTCGCTATGGCGCTACCGCAGGTGCTGCGGCATGATTGTTTTCAGTTTTCCGGATCGACGTTCCTCCTTGCCGCGTAATCGGCGAGTTGTTCGCCGTCTATCTTGTCTATCGAGAAGTTACGGGCCTCCTCGCAGCCGAAGATCAGGCCGCAGGTCGATTCGCCGGGCGTCATCATGTACGATTCGGTCAGCGCGATGCCGGTCGCTTCGGTCACCCGCATCAGCCGGAAGATGTCCTCTTTCATCGAGTGATCCGGGCACGAGGGGTAGCCGAATGCCGGGCGGATACCCCGGTACCGTCCGGCGAACAGCTCTTTCGGCGTGAATGCGTCGGTTTTTCGTATCCCCACAGTTCGGTGCGCACCCGCCGGTGCAACGTTTCGGCGAAGGCTTCGGCCAGCCGGTCGCCGAGCAACTTGGTCATGATGGCGCGGTAGTCGTCGTTGTCGCGGCGGAAACGTTCGGCCAGTTCGTTCAGGCCGATGCCCGCCGTTACGGCGAACGCGCCGACGTAGTCTGCTATTCCGCTGCCTGCCGGAGCGACGAAGTCGGCCAGCGACAGGTTCGTTTCGTCGTCGGGTGTTGGTTGCGCAACTGCGGCAGCCGCAGGAGTTCCTGCCGCCGGCTGTCGTCTGCGTACAGCACGATGTCGTCGCCGTCGCCGGTCGCCGGGTAAATTCCGACGACGCCGTTGGTCCTCAGCCATTTGTTGTCGATGATTTGCTGCAATAGCTCCTGCGCGTCAGCGAACAGTTTGCGGGCTTCTTCGCCTTTGATCGGGTCGTCCAGCAGGGCGGGGTAGCGTCCGGCCAGTCCCCAGCCGGCAAAAAAGTAACTCCAGTTGATCAGTTTCGCGATTTCGTCCAACGGGTAGTCCGCGAAAACGAAACGTCCCGTGCGCGCGGGCCGCGCGATCCGGCTCGTGTCGATTCTCAGTGCGCGGGCGCGGGCTTCGGCGAGCGTGCGGTAGGTTTTGCCGCTCTCTTTGCGGACGAACTCTTCGCGCAGCCGCTGCTGCTCTGTCCGCAGGTTCCGCAAAAAGTCTTCGCGGTGCGCCGAATTCAGTTCGCCGAGTATCCGCACGTCTTCCGACGCGTCTTGACGTGGATCACCGGGCCGCTGTACAGCGGGGCCAGTTTGACCGCCGTGTGCATGTCCGACGTGGTGGCGCCGCCGATCAGAATCGGGATCTTCAGGCCCATCTGTTCGACCGAGACGATTACTTTGGCCATCTCCTCGAGCGACGGGGTAATCAGTCCGCTGAGTCCGATCACGTCGGCCTGCCATTTCGAGGCGGCGTCGGCGATCCGTCCCGTCTCGACCATCACGCCGAGGTCTTCGATCTGATAGCCGTTGCAGGCCAGCACCACCGAGACGATGTTTTGCCGATGTCGTGCACGTCGCCCTTGACCGTCGCCACGACGATCCTCCCGGCCGATGCGGCGCGTCCTTCGCTGCGCTCCTGTTCGATGTAGGGAGTCAGCACCGCGACGGCGCGTTTCATCACGCGGGCGCTCTTGACCACCTGCGGCAGGAACATCTTTCCGCTGCCGAACAATTCGCCGACCCGGTTCATGCCGTTCATCAGCGGCCCTTCGATCACGGCCAGCGCATTGCCCAGCGACCGGTAGGCTTCTTCGGTGTCTTCGTCGATAAAATCGGTGATTCCTTTCAGCATGGCGTGCGCCAGCCGTTCGTCGACACTCCCTTTGCGCCACTGTAGCCGTTGCGTATCGTCGGACACGGTGCCGCTTTTATCCTTGAGTTGCTGTGCGTATGCGGTCAGCCGTTCGGTCGCGTCGGGACGCCGGTTCAGCACGACGTTTTCGCATAGTTCCAGCAATTCGGAAGGAATTTCGCTGTACACCTGCAGCATCGACGGGTTGACGATGCCCATGTCCATCCCTTCGGCGATCGCATGGTACAGGAATACCGAATGCATCGCCTCGCGCACCTTGTTGTTGCCTCGGAACGAGAACGACAGGTTGCTGACCCCGCCGCTGACCTTCGCATACGGACAGTTGGCCTTGATCCAGCCGCAGGCGCGGATGAAGTCGATGCCGTAGCCGTCGTGTTCTTCGATACCGGTGGCTACCGACAGCACGTTGGGATCGAAGATGATGTCTTCGGCCGGGAAGCCGTTTTCGGTCAGCAATTCGTAGGCGCGGCCGGCGACCGCGATTTTCCGTTCGAAAGTATCGGCCTGACCCTGTTCGTCGAACAGCATTACGACGGCCGCCGCTCCGTAACGGCGGATCAGTCCGGCCCGGTGCAGGAACTCCCGCTCGCCTTCTTTCAACGAGATCGAGTTGACTACCGATTTACCCTGCACGCATTTGAGCCCCGTTTCGAGCACTTCCCATTTCGACGAGTCGATCATGACCGGGACCCGTGCGATGTCCGGTTCGGACATCACGAGGTTCAGGAAGTCGCGCATCGCCGTCGGGCCGTCGATCAGCCCGTCGTCCATGCAGATATCGACGATCTGAGCGCCGCCTTCGACTTGCTGCCGCGCTACGGACAGCGCTTCTTCGTATTTTTTTTCACGGATCAAGCCGGCGAATTTGGCCGATCCGGCCACGTTCGTCCGTTCGCCGACGTTGACGAAGTTAGCTTCGGGCGTGATCCGCAGCGTTTCCAGTCCGCTGAGCGTAGTTACGTGCTCCGGTTCCGGGATTGCGCGCGGCGTGTATTCGATGCGACTTGCGCGATGGCGGCGATGTGTTCCGGCGTCGTGCCGCAGCATCCGCCGACGATGTTCAGCAGGCCTTTGTCCAGGTAGGTTCCGATCGTTGCCGCCATCATTTCGGGCGTTTCGTCGTAACCGCCGAAGCCGTTCGGCAGTCCGGCGTTCGGGTGCGACGATACGGCGCACCCGGCGACCGCCGCCAGCCGTTCGATGTAAGGCAGCATCAGTTCGGCGCCGTAGCCGCAGTTCAGTCCTACCGAAAAAGGATTCGCATGGGCGATCGAAGCGTAGAAAGCCTCGATCGTTTGCCCGGACAGCGTCCGTCCGCTGGCGTCGGTGATGGTTCCGGAGACCATCACCGGAATCCGTCTTCCGCGTTCGGCGAAAGTCTCCTCGATGGCGAACAGCGCGGCTTTCGCGTTCAGCGTGTCGAAGATCGTCTCGATCAGCAGCACGTCCGCTCCGCCGTCCAGCAGACCGCGCACCTGTTCGGCATAGGATGCCCGAAGGTCGTCGAACGTCACCGCCCGGTAACCCGGATTGTTGACGTCCGGCGAGATCGACGCCGTGCGATTGGTCGGGCCGATCGAACCGGCTACGAAGCGCGGTTTCGATGGATTGCGGAGCGTATAGCCGTCGGCGACTTTGCGGGCCAGCGCCGCCGCCGCCCGGTTCATCTCATAAACATACGCCTCGAGCCCGTAATCGGCCATCGATACCGCGCTGGCGTTGAACGTGTCGGTCGAGATGATGTCGGCTCCCGCTTTGAGATAGGCTTCGTGGATTTCGGCGATCACTTGCGGACGGGTCAGCACGAGCAGGTCGTTGCACCCTTTCAGCAGGATTTTCCAATCTGCAAAACGCGTTCCGCGGTAATCCTCTTCGCTCAGGCCGTAGCCCTGTATCATCGTTCCGAGTCCGCCGTCGAGGATCAGGATTCGGCGCGCGCTCTGGTCGTGTATCGAAAATTTCAGCATACGTAAATTGTGGAGTCGGCCCTACTTCGGATGGACCGAAATTTCGAATAGTTTGTTCCAGTTTTTGCCGGTGACGAAAATCCGGCCCGTTCTGGCGTCGTAGGCGATGCCATTCAGCACGTCGGTCGCCGGCGTGACGTCCGCTTCGGAGAGCAGTCCGCTCATGTCGATCGCTCCGGTCACCGCGCCGGTCTGCGGGTCGATCCGGATGATGGTGTCGGTCATGTAGACGTTGGCCCAGATTTCGCCTTTGATCCACTCCATCTCGTTGACGTAGGCTACCTTGCTCTGGTCGGTATAGACTTCGATCGTGCGTATCCGCCGGAAAGTTTCCGGGTCGAGGACATAAATTTTTTCGCTGCCGTCGCTCATATACAGGTGCTTCCCGTCGG